AAGGAAGGTTTTGAATGAGCCGATTCCTTCAGTGATTGCTTTCTCTAGTAATGTTTCGTTTTCCACGAAAATAAATTGACGAAGACCTTCAAGGTCACAGTCGACTTGTCCTCCTTCAAGCCTGACTCCTTCCTGAAAGATTGTTTTCAATGTCTTATCTAACTGTGCTATCTCGAGGTTTGTGCTTCGCTTTAGAAGTGTTTCAGTATTTTCAATTCCTGTTTCAATCTTTTGAGCTTGGTGTTCAATCTCATTCCTCTGTATTTCCAGTCGCTGGAGTGATTGTTGTCCTTGATTTTCAACTTCATGAATGATCTCCTGTTTCTTCGTTTCGATAACAGCAAATATGTTATCAGCAAACTGCTGCACTCTTCTTTTCGCATTGGCGACTTCTCCTCGAATTTTTGCACAATTCTGGTCAATTTGGAAGATTTTATTTCTCATCTTTTGTGCCATTTCCTTTTGGGATTCGATCACAGTCTTCGCTTCTGCTTTACTTTCATTCGCCGCTTCTTCCAAAAGTATTTTGATGTGGCCGTCGCCGTGAATGGTTGCTGCACAAGAATAGCAAACGGGTTCTTCACAGGTCTTACAAAAAAACTCCAGTTCTTTCTTTTCATGCCCTGGCTTTCCGCAAAATGCTGGTCGCTTTAACACGTCCTCGATGTCTTGATCTTGGAAGTCTTTAAGAGCCAACACTCGGTGGTCTTTATTAGCTCGGATTATGTTGTGTCCAGTGATACAGTCGTCACACCAGAATGCACAACACTGGAAGCAGTACAAACTCTGGGAGCTTTTTTTGTCACAGTTTCCACATTTGACGCCTGTAGTGCTACACGCTTGGATGGCCAACACATCTAGCAAACTGTTAATGCGAAAGTTGGTCGGCAGATCCTTCAAGTTTCCACTGCCGGGGACTCTACTCTCTCTTCTACATTCCGGGCATGTAATGATATCATGGCGGCCACTCGTTCGTAGAATTCCTTCCAAGCAGTGAAGGCAAAAACTGTGTAAACATGGCAGCATTTTTGGATCTGTGAATGTGATCATGCACACAGAACAGGATACTTCTTCATGAAGATTGCTTAGCAAGGTTTTTATATCCATGATTATGGAAAGGCGGAAAACAGGGAGGGCTTGCAGTTGTAAACGAATTTAACAATGAAGTCTTGATCGAGCGTTTGATAATATTAACCAATCATAGAACGTTGTTTATAGACATGTATGACATGTACGATTTCTAAAAATTTTAAAATGTGATCAGTTTAGCTTGACCTTATCCACAATTCATGTTGTGTCAGTTTCCTAACTGATTGAATGGTTGAAAGAAGACAGTCACTAAGTTTTGTGACATTGACCAATCACAGAGCGTCATTAGAGGTATTTCCATATCACACGACTTCTAAAAATAAGCACAGGATGAGCCAAGATTTCTGAGAATTGTAATTGAGATTCCTTGACCTTATAAATTTGAAAGGCTATCTTATACTTATGATGATACTTATGATTTTGATCAGAAAGAGCAGGAAATAGATCGATATATATCTGCCATGCTTCCTTAAACAACAACCCTCATGAATACTGATATTAAAAACATTAAAATTTCGAGTAGGTTGCACGAACTTGCTCTTAGCAATACAACAATAGCGATAACTGCAAATGATTTTTACATGCACTGCATGGCATATTTGATTCATAACCGGGCTATGTTTTCCTTATTCCACAATTTTTGCTTTTAGGTGTCAATTTATAATTAAAAACGATGTGCACTTGTTTTGTCGTACTTGTCAGGTAATATGGGATTTGAGAGATAGTTATTAGGACTTGTAGGAGGGTGGGATTTGTGGTCCTGCTTGATAGAAACTCTGGTCCCAAGAACAATAGTTCTGCTGGTCAAAGAAGTAGCCATTAAATCTGACGTACTCTATTTCGGCAATACTTAACTTGAATTTAAGAGAAGGGGGAGGAAGAAGCGACCATTTTTGGCCCTTTTGGGCTTCACTTATGTTTTTCCGGAATAAGTCGTTTGTGTCGCCTGCATTCCTCCCCGTTGTGATCCACATACAGAGTGATCGTGCTGATGGCACTCTTTACATTTTCCTCATCAACATACGACTTTGCAATGAGAAGGCATTATGCTAGATGCAACAGTACTTCCAAACATTCAATCGGATTCACAGAGATTGTGAAACTCAGGAATTGGTTACATGTTTGGCTCTATGGGTGAGATATTCAGGGAAAAATTCGCTTTCAAATAGTGCAAAATGTCTGTGTGGCAAAAGCGCCAGTAAGCTCATACATTCTTGCTGAAATTTTGAGGTTTTAAACCTGCATCGCAGCGGGCCTCAAATCCTTTAGCAAAGCTAATCGTTCTATGTCTTCAATATTCAAAACTGGTATATTTTTGAAACTTGATCAAAAACTGAATCCCTTGTGATGCAAATATTGTTAACAAAGATTCTCCTCTAGCGACTTGTTCAGGCTTGTTTTCACGATGAATTCTCACCAGCTTATAAACATCGATTTCTTTTCTTTCTTTCTTTTTATTTTGTTATCGAGCAGAGAAGACATAACTTACACAAGGAATATTTCAACAACATTACACATTCAGTTATAAAGATGCACAAGTCTTGTTTAATCAGTACAATAGACAAATGAACATTTGTTTCATTATTCTAATATTTTATAGAAATCTTTTGAGCTTTCGGTCATCGTTGTTGAATTTTGAATCTAGTGAATTAAAAATATATCCTTGAACACGCCCCAATCATGGGTACTTGTCTCGCTTGAGTTCGGGCAAACGATAAACTGGAGGCTTCGCGTCACGCGTCGTGATTTCGAGACGAAAAGCGTGACTGTTTTGCGGTCTGTGGTTGACCCATGGCTACCAACATTTCCGCATTCGTGAATTTCAAATTTTCTTCTGGCTTAGTCTTCGTATTTAAAGAAGAAACAATGAAGGACGACGTTGAGGATAAAACAAACTCACTATTTCCCAAATTCCCTTCTTTAACGACCATTTCCGAGTTGCCTTTTACCGCTGCTTTAAGAAGATTTTTCGTGTGAAACCATTCATTTGAAAATATTTGACCTCAGTTTCAGGTAGAACAATCTTATTTTCA